CCTGAACATATCACAGCCTCTTAAGCTTTTCTCCTCAGCCTTATTTTCAACATCTCTTATCATTTTTTATGTCCTTCTCTTAAGTCCGTTTTATTTGTCTGTATCCTTTGAAAAATGTGTTAGCCCAAACTAAAAGCAGCTCTCTGGATGAAGCTCAGCCGAATCAAACAGAGTGGAAAAACTGTCTTTCTTGTATTATACGTGATGCTCCAATTAACACAACCTAGCATAGCATTTGTCTTTTCTGTGACAGCACGGTCTTTTTTCCTTGTTCAGTATATTGTCCATTATTACTACTAGTCCTTTTGCTGGAGTTTTCTGATCTAACTGGTTATATCTGTAACTTTGATCTTTCTACTCTTAAGTTGTTCCACCAGCTGCTTTGAGTTTCCATACAGCCACATATGCTTCCCATCTTCATAGTTATTTGTATGTGGCTTTATGTTATCTGAATCATTGTCCTAGTCCCACCAATGTTAGCCATTGGAGTAATTTTGCTATATTATCCGTAGGATGGACTTGTTCCAGTAACTGAATACTCCCACCAGCAATACCAAAGCCCTATCAGAAGCTTATCTCCACACCATCTCAACTATTGCTACTGTGTTTGTGGGGACTAAAAAATTATATATATACATGTTATTTCCTTGAAAAAGGAAGGTTTCCTTGTATGTAGTTAATCAATGATCTATGAAAACACCAAGGAGGCTAGAGTATAATTATGCAAAACACAATTTTTTCTTACAGTATTTTGATGTGGTATCTCCTTTCATCTTAATTATAAAATCAAATATTCAGCAATCTTTCACCAACTGGAGTTTCAAAATCCCATTTCAGAAACCTGGATAGGTGATGTTCCAGAACCAGAATATGCATGCATCTGCAACACACATGGAAGGCAGACAGAAGGGAATGCAGCCACTACTGAACTCCCACCCAGTTACTTTGTAGGTCTTGCTGGCATAAAAGCCTTGAGAGACCATTTTGTGTTGGAACTGCTACATTATTACTCTTCTGAAGCCCAGATTTGAGGAGCTGCAGCTCAAGTTTTCGAGGCTTCTCTTTCTTCAGCAGTAAATATGGAAGACTTCACAGCCCTAGAGTGGACCAAGGAAATATTCTTCAAATCAGATTTTTAATAGAGAAACATTTGTCAAATTTTGGGAAAACATTCAGATTTATCAAAGTGATATTTTTCTCACCATGCATCATTTTGTTAGGAGCTCTGTGCACATGCTCACAAAGACTCTTGAAGTACATTCATTTATCTACACACATCTGAATCTTTATAGGTGTTTTTACGGTATTCTTGATGGAGAGGAGGGCTCAAAATTTCCCTTTACTCTTACTTAGCTTTTATTTCTCTTACTCTTTATTGTGCATGAAATAATGCTTTTTGCTTTTGCTGGACTAACAAATATTTATAATGTTTATTCATTTGCTTTCCCCTTTTAACATGAATTGGAACAGTTTGCCTTACTCAGGTTTCCAGAGGTTTGTCTACCTCACTTGCTCAAAATGCATTCCCAGGACCAGACAAGAGCACACTGTGCCTGCACACAACCCACACCAGGGCCTTCGGCAGCATGCCCAAAAATGCCTGGCAGGGTCCTAACCACCTACTTACATATTAATACCACCTAAGAAAGCCCCGTGTGTTGGGGCTTACAGGATGTCGTATGTGCTAAAGAAGCATGTTTTCTGCCCAGGCATTGCTGGGTGCAGAGGCTGGTCCAGCCCACAGGACAATCATGGGGTACCTCTCAGAGAAAGAGTTACTCCTTTTCACAGAGGTGAAATTGCCACCATGGTCAGATTCAGGCATTTTAGAGCAAGGAGTGAGATATCCAAAATATGAGATTTTACAATATATTAATATATGTATATACTTATACATGTTAATTTATGATATACATTTCTAATGGGACAGGATTACTAAGAGAAGAGAGAACTCTTTCTTTTATATTTTTCTTTACCTTCTTCTTTCTTTTACTTTCTTTTCCCATATTTCCTTCTCTTTTTTTACTTTTTCAAAGGAGAAAAAGAGAAAACAAAGTCTCTCTTGCTGTATTGTCATTCTGGAAGTACAAAGCAGCACTGAGGTTTCTGTAAGAAAATGTTGATAACTCCATATGGTAGAAAGTCCGGGTAAACAATGACTTTGAACAGGCCACATGCTGAGACAGTGACACTAGGTTAGTGTAGCTATCCCCTCTAGCACAGCTGTAACTTATGCCAGCAATAAAAGATTTCTGATGGTGTGTTATTCCCCAATTCAAAAAGAAAAAATTTTTATCAATAACAGTACTTTTAGATTAATATAGTTGCTTAAACATTAAAGCTTCTGCAGCGTAGCATTTAACAGCATAGTTAAAATTAAAACCATGAATAAACACCCCACCTCAGATTGACATTATGTTATGAGCCATTCCTAATAAGGATCTGACCATTATCTGATCACTGTCTATGCCAATAACATTGCCTGTAGGAATAAAATATTTCCTTGTACAGTGGGTATTTCAGACCCAATTCTCCCAAATGAGAGTGGGAGTGAAACCCAATGTACTGACTCACCGTAAAGATCTTTTCAAGTCTGAGGAAAATGTAACTCCCAGAATAAATTACTGTACACAACATTTTCTTTTGGGCCAGTTACTACTTTGCAATAATCATTCAAGCGCTCTTATCTCCTGTTCTAAAAGGCTTGCTTTGACATGTTCAAACATTAGCTGCTTGTTACAGGAAGACTTACTTTCCAGGAACACAAAGATTCAGTCTTTCATCAAACTGTTCATAGCAGTACATTTACTCTCCCTGAAAAAATTGTTTCTGTTGATATAGTTCAACTACACTGAAGAAGAAGTTCGGTTCTGAGCAGATGATTAGGATGACTGACTGCAAGCCAGGGCTAAGAAATTACTAAATATTGCTAGTGTTAAGAGCACTATGATTTCTCTATATATATCGCTTCTGATTCTTTAGCCATTTTATTCCTCCTCAAAAAAAAAATAGGAGCCAGGAGCTATTTCAAGATGTTTCCTCCCCCACCCCCCTTTTTTTTTACCCATGTTTTTACAATCTTCTATTTATCATGAATTTTCCAGCAGCAGAACTACAAAAAAGTTTTGTTCCATGTTATGGGAAATAGCTCTCCAGAAACAGGACAAAGATAGAAATCTCTTATTTTATGAGCACACGAGAAAATACTCTAAAGACGTATACGAGCCTTTTCATTCTCAAACACTTCCTCTGACTGATTTTAGACAGTTAGAAGTTTAAGTCATTATTGATGTCACTTTTGGAAGTTTTGTTCTTAACACATTAAGACTGATGAATAAGGCATGGGACATTCCACAATATCCCAGCTGGGGGATTATACAGCTGGACAAAATTATCCCTGTTATTTTGGGGTTTTAAATGATGGTATATCTTTTGATAAACCTTCTTGTTATAGTTGAGTAGTAGAGACATTATAGGACATAAATAGAGACATAATAGGACAAAATAATTCCATGAAAATAATGTTTTAATTTTGAACAAATGTGCCTTTAGCCAGAATGTTTGTGAGATGCCTTGTGATTACTGAAAAATGGGAGTAGAAAATGATTTTTGAATTCTGAAATATGATGGTTTACAATAGAAAACCTGACTTTGAGTTACTTCCACTCAGAGAAACACAACATGTGATGTGTTCTGCGCCGACTAACTGACATAACAATATTGAATGCCAAATTTTGAATATCAAACACTCACGGTGAAGTGTTCATAAATGATACACCTTCATTCAGGGAATAATTCTGAATAATAAATCTAAGAAAATCATAAACCGCTCTTGTACAATTCACAAATAGAAAAAGGAGATGAGATTTGTCTAACAAATTATTTGGAGTGAATTATGCATCCAGCAGCTACCTGAGTCCCTAATCTGTATTTTCTAAAATTTGTATGGGATGTCTCCTCTAGCGATTTTGTGATATAATTACCTAGATCAGCCATTCCCCAGCTGTATCCTTTATGGCAGCTTCAGTGTGCTTATGTATTCCTGGATGAGACTGCTTTATACATCGTTTCCTTATGCCACTTCCATATTACCTTTCTAAGCAGATTTGTCACCTGTTCTGGGAGACACGGTGGCCTCCATTTCCTTCAGTGACCTAAAATAATTAAGAGCTAAATCTCCTGTCTTCAAGTACTTTTGCATATGCTTAAATTTATGCACATGAGTAATTTCATTGATTGTAATGGGTCTGTCCATAGGAGTACATTTAAGAAAACTTATTTGAAGTTGTGGGCTTTTAAGAGATTTGTCTTCTAGTGTTACATGATTCCTACTTTATCAGTAAATATTGCCTAGCAATGTCCAAAACATAGACTACTAACCAAAGGACCTAAGAGTTGATAATAAAAATCCTTAATAAAATTAACCAACTTTGCATGCATTTATATAATTATTTTCAAATATATGTGTGTGATTTACATTGAAATATATGAAATCAGAAAAAGACTCATGTTCAGAGTCTTCTTTTGCTTTTGAAAGGTACTTTGGGTCAGACTCCCAAAAAAACCTCAGCACTTCATTGCAGTTTACAGAGCTGCTTGGTAGTAAATTTGGCTCTGAGCATTAAGAAAAATTGTGTATTTTTTCAGCCATCTATGGAAGTAACATTGACACCAGGACAAGTATAAACGAGGATGGCTGTAATGTATTTCACTGCTTGTAACCTATACAGACAGCACTGGAGTGCAGCAGTCAGCTGAAGGAGCTGATTTTTGGAAGGGGCAATTGGAAGGAAAATCTAAATGGGCTAGCTGTTAAGAACAAGAAGCTTTTGATTTAGGAAATATTAAAAGTGAGTTCCTGGATTTTATTCCTGACACACACCCAATTAATATATTTTCCAAAACCAAGACACCATATTTACAGGATTTATTTAATATTAATGGAGGTATTAAAGGGGATAAACTACTACCTGTAAGATGCTTTTAATTTTTTTTCACAGGTCTTGTTTCAAAAATACAGAAGCTGTTTCTGACCTAATTGATCAAAAATACTTTTCTTCTGGAAACAGTGCAAAATGTCTTCTTTTCAAGGCAAATGACTGTGGGGACTGATGAGAGAGACAAAGAAAGGTAATATATGCTAAGAAAAGTGCCAGAATTTGAGCTGGAAATAAACCTTCAGCATAACATGCTTTTTGATATTGCTCATACAACCGTTCAGAACTTTTATTTCTTCATTTGGAAGAATTTCTTCATTTTAACAGGTAGTTAAAAATGTCTGTTACAAGTCTTTTCTTCCTATTAGTTTTCCGAATTTCTTGGAAAGGATATTCAAAATTGTTTATGATTGAACTTTAGAAATTTCCACTTCTAGGAAACCTCACACAAAAATAAGGTTATTAATTAAATAATTTCACTAATTCAATAAAAAAATGTTCAGAATAAATTATTTTTTTTATTAGGGATTTTTGGAGAAATGTCCAGATATCTTATCCCAGAGCTACTCAAAAAGTTTATTTTTGTTCCAGCTGCAAAGTTCGTCTACTCTCTTACTATGATAATTATATACATATTTTAATCACCAGACAAATTACTAGAAAAGACTAGGCTTATCATAAGAGAATAATTATCACCTATCTGTAAAAGTATTTAATTTGAAGAAATTTTTCAATTAAGTAAAAAACCACAAAACTCACTACAATGTTCTCTTACTGTACACACATATATGTTTCATAAATGGAAGGATTCCCTTTCATACACTTAAATTCTAATTTAAAAAACACAAACTATTTACACATTATCTCCTCCTTCTTTAGATAAAGTACTGAACAAAGAGTACTAAGAACCCTCCCAACAGGTTGACCTTTCCCCTGTGATCTAACCTTACTTTCCTCTCTTTTCTTCTTTTTAATAACTGCAGAGACACTATTTATCAGATACAAGAGGAATACCTTACATGAGGACACATAACCCAGGACTCATTTTAATATTCATGAGGTCGCTGGCTTTATTAAAGAAATTCAAGTAGGTAGTGAACACTGGATTGCATTCCTCCACGATATATCCTTTATCTGCTTGTTAAAGTGAAGCATTACTAATGCAGTTTTAGCTGCTCCTTCTTTGGAATTGAACTTCTTCGTAAACATGTAATACGTGTTCTAGATTCTCCAGCATGTGTACCTACATTAACAACCACAACTATTTATAGTTGCTACCAGGGTCCTAAAGACATGAAAGTTTCCAGACCCAGCATGTTAGCTTTGCACTTACCGAGAGAAAGAAAAAAAATTTAGAAAGTTCTCCCCTCATGTCAAAATCTAGAGGTTCATTTCCCACATCAGATTTTTTCTCAAAACAGTCTAGGAAAGGCCAGATTCAAAAACCATGAGGCAAAAAGGAACCCCTTATTGTTTTTTTTCTGGACAAATCTTGACATTTTCCAATTGTATCTCTCTACAAAAAGAGAGATCATTTTAGGAAAAAAATACAATTACTACATGAAAGAAAACAACATTCAAATGTTGTTAATTAAATGAGGGAGTGGATGTCAATGTTAATGTGTAGGTACATAAAAAGAACCTTATTTTGCAGATGTATGACAGGGCTCCCTGAAGAACACAAGTTTTTCTATATTAATTCCATGGTAGTTGAAAGCTACATAATCAAAAACACCTTCTAAGTTTGGCAGAAATATAACATTGGCTGTTTAAAATAAAAGGTCTGTATGGAAAGTTCAGTTTTGTTTTGGTTTTGATTTTTTTTTTCATTCCCCTAGGGTCATTGTGGTGAAGGAAATATTTTTATCTAGGCCTCAGGAAACGGTGGTCTGGCTAGTGACTGCAGTGCTGCGGACAGTTACATGCACAGTATTCACTCAGGGCAAAGCATGCCATCACTTATGTCTGCCCCTAAATTCCTGGACTACAAGAACTAATGTCAATATCCACCTGGAAATGTCTAGTGAGGAAGGACTGTGGAAGCTACTACCCTGAAACAACCCTTCAAACTCAAGTGAGGTGAGTCAGAAATGTGCAAGGCATTGGTATGGATAAGGAGAACCCTACTGAGTTAAATTTCAAACCAATATTCAATAAGAGGCCATCACACACCTCACTTGTATAAATGAACTAAAGTCACAAGGAACATAGAGTTGTCTGATGGAGTCTTTGTGCTTTTCAGGTGAATACTTACAGCAGAAGCAGTGTGGCATCCCTGAAGTTAGGAAAAATCTGGCAGATTTTCTGAAAGTAATTTTACAAATTTTCACTCCTGTTTTCAGGACTTTAAAGGTGTTTTTCACTTGCCCCTTCTAATACAAGGAAGTCCATTGCCTATTACAGACCTGAAAATTGCTGCACATAAATCTGTAGCTCTAGTTGGGTTTTCTGCTGTAATTCTGCCCATTCTGAACACCTTACAAACTGATTGGCTTTTCCTTGGCTTCTTCAGAAAATATGGACTGAAACTATTGACATCAGCTGTAAGGCTTAGAGTACATACAGTTTCTTAACTCCCAAAGGACCTTCCAAATATAACACCATTTATGAGTTTAATCAACACTCTTGTCTCTGATAACCATTCAAACACATGCAGGCAAGTATCTTTCTGTTTTCCCTTTCTCTTCTATGCTGATTTCATTCAGGAAAATACTTTTTGAAGGTGTTATATTTCAGCTTTTCTTTTCTTTGTTTATTTCATTTTCTAGATACTTCCCATCAGGTTGCAGTTTAATTTATTCTGCAATTCATTTTTTTAATTAGGCATTTTTCTATAAGAAACCCCCAGCTTCCAAGCCTAATCAACATTGCTCTATCTTTCACCTTATGCGTCATAAAAAATGACAAAATGCACCCTATTTTCTCTTTCTGTTGCTGGCTATCCTCTATCTTTACTTATAGATGTAGCCTTGTTTTCATTTTTTATTAACTTTTCTAGATGTTAGCACTCATCTCTTAGATAATCACACATACTTGAAAATACTATAGGAATCTCAGAGGAAAATCTTACAGCTGGTCAGTAATAAATTTTTTAGATGTGTGAGGGACACGGAGAGAGAGGAGAAATACAGTTATAAGATTACAGCTGATACCAGGCATAATTTTTACAACTGGTCAGTACATTAAATTATTAATCCCATGCAAAACCACTTAAAACCAATAAGAACAGATGATAAAATAGGCTATATTCTGGTTTACCTCTTTATTTGCCAAACCAAGACTTCCCATTCAAAAAGGACTAATGTCTGGCAAATTGCCTGGTTATCTACATGTGATGTCTAGCTGGTGGTATGGGGAGCTGAGCTTTCACTGTGGTTGTGAAGGATTAGCAGCAACTTTGGTAGCACTAGTGGTAGACCACCAAGAGTCTGAGAATCAGACTTTTTTATTACGTTCATTTTGCCTCGGACTTCATTTTACTTTCTTCAAACACTTCAGACAAATCTACTCAGTAGTATCCAACAATGATTCCAGGGAGATAATCTTGTTTTGTATACACTGAAAAAATTCTGGCAGTCTTTCCTTTGAAGTGCTCCAAGTCTTCTGTGCCTGAGAGCAAAGGCTTGAAATTTTAAAAGAACTCATAATGTTGATATAAATCCAAACCCATTCTAACTCGGACAAGTAAGGAACTTTTGGGAAAACATTTTCAACAGAGGTTTCATCGTATCACAGACTCATGTAGGTTTGAAAGGGTCTTCAGGACATGTCTAGTCCAACCTTCTGCTAAGAACAAGGTCAACACTGAATTCACAAGCCAGATTGTCAGGTCTTGAAAACCTCCAGAGGCAGATTCCACAGCGTCTCTGGGCAACCTACCCTAGTGCTTTATTTTCCTCACACTTAAAAAGTTTTTCCTTATATAGACTCAGAATCTCTGCCATTCTGGTTAAGCCTATTATCTCTTGATCTCTTTCCATGCACCTCAGTGATAGACTTATCTCTGCCATCTTAGTAGCCTATTCATAAGTGGCTCTGAGGTCCCCCTGCAGTAACCTCTTCAGACTGAACGAAACCCAACTGCTAAAGACATTCTTTACAGGAAATGTGCTGTAGCCCCTGGATTATACTTATTTTTGTCTTGCGTGCATCAAACACTATATCTGGATCTGGCCAAGTATAGGAGAATAATTGTTGCCTCAAAATACCACTAACACAATTAATACAGAACCACAGAAGAACCCTGGCTGGAAGGGTCCAACCTTTCATTTTGTTAAAGAGCCCAAAACACCATTAGGTTTCATAACTACCAGGGCACATGAACTGTTGGTTCATGTTTAGGCTACTTCCGCCCAGATCCTTAACAAAGCTGCTCTCCAGAGAGTCAGTCCCAAACCTGCAGGGAGTTAGTCCACACACACATGCACACCTATCCCACTGAATAGTGAACTGGGGTGGGTTTTAGGAAGCAAGCAGGAAGCCTTTACCCTCTGAGGTAGGGAGCCTGGCAAAGGGCATAGCCAGTAAAACCAGTACAGAAAAGGCACACAAATAAATCAGATGGAGATCTTCATGGGTAGAAGAGATATCAGGACAGTTTAAGGGTGTCTAAGCCCAAATAAAAATTCTGAGATTGTTACTGTGAACAGTGAATTGACAGAGGATTTCGTAACTGAGTGAAAATGGAGTCAAATTAAAGGACCGCTTGTGAGGAAGACATTGGACTGAGAAGGTAGCTTGGAAGTTAGAGAGAGAGGGGATAAAGGTATGGGAAAATGCCAGGTGACATCTGTAAAAACAAATAATATGTGAATACATAATCAAATACAAAACATTATTCATATTTAATAGGCAATTTTTTCTGAGTTTTGGCTATGTCATTACAGCTTTTGGTTGTGCCTAATGTGTATCATTAAAGTCTATTTTTTATTTGCATCTTATCATATACTAAGTGGATGATTTTAAATTCCAAATAATACTAAGAGTAGCCTATTTCTTCACCTTAGTTTTATTGAAAAATAATGCAACATCAGCAGAGCTCTCTGACTGAAACTCAAAATCTCAAAGGCTGTTCAGCCTTTGGCCTTCTTTTTAAAACTGAGATTTTCTTTTGAAGGAAATACTGAAATTAAGTTTCTTACCTTTCAATTCCCTCCTGCTGGAATCAGGAGTCATATGCTTCTTGAAGAGCAAAATTTGTTTAGACCATTCACAAAGGTTACTATTTTATGCACATGAGTAATGCAGCCTCTGTAAGTTGAATGTGATGTTATGTCTAGAAATGTTATGCATAAGATTTATCTTCAAAGATGTTTCTGAACTTAACTTATGCATATCTTTTCACTTAAATTTGATTTGATAACTTGTCAAACATATCCAATTTGTTTGTGTTTTTCTGTTCTCTTCTCCATACTGGGAAGTACTTTTTACCAACTTGACATTGGTAAAATGAGTATTAAGTTCATTAGCACCATCCACAGTTCTGTGACAAGAGAGAAAACAAAAGGCTGAGAGAGGAAGTAAGAGAAAAGAAAGGGAAGGGAAGGTTTGGGAAGGGAAGATTTGGGAAGGTTTGAGAAGTGAAGGTTTGGGAAGGTTTGGGAAGGTTTGGGAAGGTAAGGTTTGGGAAGGTTTGGGAAGGTTTGGGAAGGGAAGGTGTGGGGAGGGAAAGTGTGGGAAGGTGTGG